GTCTTATAAGGCGCACGTGAGCTAAATGTCAGATGCCGGCTCATAATTCCGCCTGGTTACATCATGAGGACGCTTGAAAAACAAAACCCCAAAAACGAAAAACAAAACGATCAAAACACGTACAGAACTGACCATTCAAGCGCATATATGGCGTAAAGGCTTGATAACGAGTCTTCCAGTAAAGAAATTTGAAAAAATAATAAAAAGATAATGGTTTAGAATTTGCTTCTTGAAATTCTGTATCAAAGATTATTTTCTGTTTAATTTAAGTATACAGATGTAGATTTTAATGCGACATCTATGGACATAACTAGGACGGGAAAAAGACGAAAAATAGACGAAACCTTTCGTAAACAAATCTGTTTTTGATTTGATTTATATACGCATTTTAAAAACATGAAAAATGCTTCGGATAATAGTAACATTTTCTCATAATACCTGATTGTTTAAAATGTTTTCATTTACTCTGTCTAGCTTAGATTTTACAAATTCTATACCAATTTCTATATTACACTTTCTATATTTAACACCTCAATGTTTTATCAGGTTCATTAATTCTCAGTAAGCTAATGAGCCTTAGTGGCTTCATCACCTTGTTTGGTGGTGAAATGATTTAAAAAAAAAAAGAACAGTATGTGAACATAATATTTTCTATCTTTATAATTTGGACAGAAAAACAACCACTTCTAATAGCCGTAAATATTTAAATTCTTCGTGTGAAACGCGAGACAGAAAATAGCGAAACGCTCTACGATAAGACATCGGATTAAATCGATGCCTCTCATATCGCGGTATACTTCTATGTGATGTGCCCCCACTCAGGATGTTGGTGATCATAGTCCTCCACTATTTCCTGACCTTTGTAGCAATTAATAAATTGTGTATTTTGTTACCTCTCTAAACCTTGTTTTGCCATCCATTTACTCTAGCCCACTAAGTAGGTTATAAGTAGTTTTCCTCTATCCCTTTCGACTTCAATCTGTCTTGAGCGTATCAAATTTTTCAAGTCCTCTTTCCTCACTCATGCCCTAGAAATTTCCTCTCTTCCTGATGTTAAGTATGTGACCATTTTCTATTTTTTCTAAAACTTCGTCGTTGCTCACATGTCCGTCCTATGGTATTCTCAGCATCCTTCTGTAGGACCATATTTCTGTTGCTTCATGTTTCTTAATATGTGAGAAGATTATCCAGCATATTTATTGCCGTTTAGGAGGATCAATATTACATAACAGTTCAGCACTCTTTCCTTTGCTTATAAGGAAAATTTCTTCTTTCCTCATATTTTGCTGAGCTTTTGGAAGGCATCTTTCGCTATCCCAATGAACTTTCGAATTTTAATGTCGTACTCTCAGTCCTCTGTTGAAACACATTCCAGATATTTAAATTGTTGTACTTGCATGATTTTTGTATCTGCAATATGTAATTTGAATGTTGGACTTTTCTTTTACTGTCATACATATATCTATCTTGGGGTAACTCGGCGTGGTGTAATATAATAAGTTGGATCCTCATTGGGTGCCCCATACTTTCGACGTTGTGCCATATCGCTTAAAAAATCAATACATATATCTATCTCGTTTAATATCTAGTCCTTTCTTCTCACTACCTTCTTCTAGTTCCATTTCTATGTCCGTTATAAATACTGTGTCACCGGCATAACTTATGTTAAGATACTGGCCGCCAATAATCAATTTGGTAGAATTGTCCCACTGAATACATCCGATCAGAAGACACATCCTTGTCTTACACCCCTTTCTATTTTTGTATATTTGCTGATTTCCTGAACAAAGTCAAGTTGAGTGAACTCGATCCTGATACTACGTGTTTATTTTCAGGCGTCGCGAAGCTCTGTACATATTAATGAGAAATTATACCTGTACTTTGCAGTTATGATTGGTTATTTTTATTCATGCTCCAAAACAGTGTGGCGACATATTTTTAACCACACTACTACCATCTCTAAAACAGAACAGTTTGGTATGACTGTTTCTGTATCCAGGCCTATCAGCAACCAACGCCAGAGAGTTCTAGAAAATTCAAAGAGCGACTAAGCACAGTCAGCCCAAGATAAGGTTAGGTTTGGTTTGGTTTGATTTGTTTTACAGCATATCAACCTCAATGGGTTATCTTATACGGACAAGATTTTTATTGCTGGTAATATTTATTTCCTTCAAAAATGTATTTCTGGTAATATATATTTTTCCTAAATATCTATTGCTGGTAATAATTTTTTTACAAAGTATTTTTGCTATTAAAACCTATTTTTACACTTTCATAGTGGTTTCACCCCAGTTTGGGCGTTAACTATTTGCCCATATTTGGGACCCTAACATGTGCTACCACCCCGGGTGAGGCTGAAACTGGGAACACCAGCGATTAAGAGGTAGTTCCACACTCCTCAAAACCTGATCAGAGGCCTTGCTGTTGAATGTAGTTTATCGTCTTACCCAGGACGCGGATGTAGTTTATCGTCATACCCAGGACGACCAAGTCAAGATTGATTTCCGTAAAACAAAATTCTCAGTAGAGATAAAGCGTCAGTGCCTACTATCATAAATGACCATAAGTTTATTTCATACTCGTCAGATAAGGCAATGAACAATTCCACGTTAGACTATAAGGGCCAACCCTACCTGACTTCCCTCATTTTAATATCTCTATCACAGCAAGGAACGTTTCAAGACTTATCAAAAGCCTGGACTCTCAGAACGCTACCAGTCAGGATAAAATTTAGGTGATTGTTCTTACGAACATTAACTCAAAATTAGCTCTAATCTTGTCAATATTGTTTAACCACTATCTTCAGTGCATTCCAAGTCTAATAAAAGTAGGAGCTATATGCTCTGTTTTCAAGGATTAATCTTCTGTAGCAATATAGACACATTAGCCTCTGGAAACTCTGAGTAAGATTAACAAGAAGATTATTAATGATCTCAACAAGAACAACCTCTGTTGAGGGACAAACAGTATGGATATGTCCACTATTGACGTCATAACTCCCTATTCACAGAATGAATGAGACATATTTGATATTTCGAAGGCGATTGTCCTTACTTTTGGACGATCCTATTTTGAAAATAAATAAATAATTGTTATAATTATTTTTCTATCCTTTGCAAATGATTCAAATTTTAGTATGTTATTATGGATGATAACGACTACCAGTTGTCAAAATTTCAGCTTTTCACAGTTCTTATTTCTAACAGATATTAGGTTTTAAAATTCTGTCCCTTAGTTTTGGACGCTACTGTATGTATGTATGTATATATATATATATATATATATATATATATATATATATATATATATATATATATATATATATATATATGAGATAGATAGCGATATATAAATTTGTATATATAAAGAACAATATCTGGAAAAAAAGTTTTCGCTTGACGTGTTTAATCTGTTAGGTCTTCATCGGATTACATTTGTTACGCTGTTGAGACTACACATTCGCACAAGCGATTGATGCTATAATTTTAAATAAATTTTTGGTGGGGTGGTGTATATAATCTAGCTAATTTTAATTAGATTCCTTTTTCCTTTATTGGTTTGTTTCTATCACTGTGATAATAGAAAATATGTCAGGAATGATGAAAATGGTGTAAGAGCTACAGGCACTCTTTCTTTTCAACATTTTCGTCTTGGTGAATTGTTTTTGCTTTTCATGTCAAAATTGCAGTCAATGTGGAACTAATGTATGTATTGTATTATATTGTAACATGTCACCTTGTGTTCATATAATCTTTTATTTAGATTCCTTGAGGTTTCACCTATGTATTTTTGTGACAGTTATTACAGGCATAAGACTAAATTCCACCTTTAAGTTTTAGCTTATTGTCCTGTTTAGTACTGACTATGTCTCCTATTGTTTGAGATGCACTAGTAACAAATTTTATCTTTAGCTTAGATAAAGAAATCTACATTACTCCCTCTGACACGGGAGGTGGGATTGTGGTCATGAACAAGAATATACACGTAGAAAAAATTAATTCATTACTCAACGATACCGACACATATGAAAAAAATAAACTAACAGAAAATAATTAGTACACATTTTCTCATTTTTATATAGAAATATCAAAATCAATTACTTTTTTCTTCCTGTTTTGCCTTTTCATATAGAAATATAAAATCATCTACTTTTTCTATGGATTGTGTCTTTGTTATTTAGAAATCTGTAAAAACTGTTATTTAAGCTTCAAATGCTGTTTTTTATAGAAATATGAAAATCTGCAAAATAGTTCTTCAGATTTTTTCTTTTTATATAGAAATTTGAAAATATTATTCAGCTTCGAATTTTACATACAAATAAGGTAAATTACGCAAACATTTAACGAGACCATTAGGAAAATAATTAAAAATTAAAACTTTTTACACTTTCTCATATATATATATATATATATATATATATATATATATATATATATATATGGTGATATATATACATAGTGAAGTTTTAAATGTCAGAATTAATCCAGACATGCCCACAAGTATATATTTTAAATGTCAGAATTAAAACATATACTTGTGGGCATGTCTGGATTAATCCAGTATATGTTTTAATTCTGATATTAGGCGTGTAAAAGTACAAGACTAAAATTTTATACACTGTCTATTCAGCTCCGAACTGTATGGCAAAGCGTTTGATGGAGAGATTGGAGGTCTTGACAAGCATAGAACCGACACTTAATTGCTGTTGTTCCCAGGTCCATCCTGATCCGGGCTGGTAGCACAAGGTAGGGTCCCAACTATGCCCCATATAGTGAACTTCCAAACAAAAACAAAACATTCTGAATGTATAAAAGTACATATTTCTATACAGAAAATACCAACAACACATATTTATAGTAAAATTATCAACAATCCCTATTCATGGTATGTATTTAAGTCATAAATCTGTGGACAAAATATTTAGATTTCGGCATTAAATAACCCATAGAGGTGTTCATTTACCGCTAAACAAAATCAATCAACCAACCGAATTGTATGGCTTACGCCCACATCACGTTGAAACATTGGTTCCCATACGATCACCAAAGTTAAGCAACGTCGATCCTGGTCAGTTCTTAAATGGGTGACTGCTTGGGAATAACAGCTGCTCTATGTTTGAATTTGCGGGTGATGTAATGGAAAATGACTCGGAATTGTTAATAGGAGAGCCGAGTTCCAAATCCGGTTGGGTTCGTTGTATTCACTTATGCGCAAATATCCTTAGGGAAAGTATGAATCCACCTCTTCTCCCTCAAGCTATGGGTTAACTAGTAAGACTTGAATCACTGAATCATAATTATATCCAAAAATAAAATAAAATTGCGCACGAAATATTTAAATTTCAGCATTAAATAACCCATAGAAGTGTTGATATTCCGCTAAACAAAAACAAGAAACCAACCAAACTTTGTCAATTACTGTGAGTCAATACGAGTTGACTTTGGGATTTTTTTGAAGGTCAGTTCTGCATTCTCGTGAGGTTCTCTTCTTCCTTTTCGGGTGAGTACTCATATATCAGGTCATCCCATAAGTTCTGTCCGAATTATGAATAAAAGAAAACAAGTGACCAAATGTTACATTTAATTACAGATTCAATCAACAATGTATTTTCCCTGATTATCTATGACTTTCTTCCATCTATTAACAAGCTTACTAATTCCATTACTGTAAAATTATTTTGGCTTTGATTAGAAGGAATTACAAATGTTAGTTTTAACCTCTTCCTGTGTTACAAAAACTGTTTCTTTTTTTTCTTTCTGTATGCTACGAAACAAATGGTAGTCTGAACGAGCAAGATCAGGAGAATAAGGTGGATGAGGAATTTTCTCCCAACCAACTTCTTCGATCTTTTGTGACGTGATTTTTGCTGTGTTGGGTCGCGCATTGTCCTGACGAAACATCACCTCTTTTCGATTCACTAGAGGAGGTCTTTTTTTTCCTCAAAGCTTGGTTCAAACGCTCGAATTGCTGACAGTATATTTGAGCATTAATTGTTGCATTAAGTGGTAAGAATTCAAAGTGGATTATTCCTTGGCGATCCCACCAGATTGAAAGAAGAACCTTTTGCCCATGAAGTTCTCTTCTCGGCTGTGGCTGGGGTCCTTCTCCTTTACCAAGCCACTGTCTACGACGCTTAACATTTTGATAAAATATCCATTTTTCGTCGCCAGTCACAAGTCTATCCGAAAAAGGTGTAACAAGTTGGCGAGAATGGAGGGAAGAGCAGATGTCAACTCGGGATTTGAGGTTGTTTTCAGACAATTCTTGAGGCACCCATTTTCCAAGTTTAGGAACTTTTCAACGTTGTTGAAGGTGACGATGAACAGTTGTGTGGTTTGAACTGAGAACCACTGCCAATTCATCAACTGATAAAGCAGGATTTTCTTCAAGGGCTGCTTCAAGAAGCTTTTCATCAAACTCAACTGGATGTCGGGTTCGATCTTCATGTTCAAGCGTGAAATTTCCACCTCTGAATTTTGCAAACCATCTTCTGCAAGTTCTTTCATTCACACATTCCTCTCCATAAACTGAGTGAATGTTTCTAGCCGCTTCGGCTGCTGAGTTTCCTTTCTTGAACTCATAAAGCATTATGTGCCTCAAATGATTCTTGGGTACTTCCATGTTAGCAGGGTTTTAATCAAACAAAATTGAATTTTATTGTTTTCTGAAATAAGATTTGATCAGTTTAAATGCATCTAAACGTAAAAATAATGTTCAGCTCCATTAGACATTATAAAATACTCTTTAAATTTCGTTCATTTTAACAAAAAGCTAAAATTCGGACAGAACTTATGGGATGACCTGATATATCTTCCTGCCATGCCGACCACTTGTTCAAGTGTCAGAGGAATCACTAACATCTAGTAAGGCACCGCTCTACACATAATGGCTTGGAGACTTTCACTGATGCAACTGGCTTATCTGATGGCCGGTGAATGCAAAGTTAATTTTGGTAACACCTGAAGAGCGTCCCATATTACACATGAAAAGATATAACGAGGATCAAATACTGTACACAATATTAATGACCTGATCTGGTTAACATCACATGAGCCACCTACTCCGGATATTTGTTCATTTATTAAGAAAAAATATAGTAGCATTCGTTCTAAAATGAGCTCAGATTGCCACATTTGTGGGTCTACTTGATGTAATGGTTAACGAACTTATCTCGGATCGTTACAATTGAGTAAGAAGCTAGATCCTTAATGGGTGTCTAATCTTGGCTTTGTGTCAAATCTATGTTACACTATTTTAAAAAGATACTTCATATATTCCCTGGTGGTACATCTGTCGATTTTAGTGCTAACTACAGTCGCACAAGGGGACACAAACGAACAAAGGCTGTAAAATTTACTGAAACGTTTATATGAAGCTGTAAGCCTTTTACACCCACATAGACAATTCGAAAAAATACAAGAAGACACACAATGAAAAAAGGCTGTAAAATGTACGCCAAAAATTTACTGAAACGTTTATACGAAGCCCTAAGCCTTTTACACCTACATAGTCAATTCCCAAAAAATATATTTCTATATTTTTTCCTGTGGATGTAATATCCCTGCTTTGTTTTAAATCTCCATCATCACCCAACAACTAAAGATCAAGTTGCCATCCCCAAACAACGCCGCCTTTTTTCGCGTTTTATTTCTCTTCATCCGTCAACACTATATATTAACATTTCCAGAGCTTTTATTCCCATTGGTGACGATGGATCTCTCAATGTTATTAATATATTTCAATTAGTATTTTCGGTGACCCTTTTTTTTTCTTTTGGTGATGGAGAAGATATTGATAAAAAGGTGTAAACCCTTCAAATCTTTGGCGACCCTCCTCTTAGGCATTTGTGGACCACCTCAGTTTTGGTTTCAACTGTAGTTATGATTTCATCAGTTCAAAAGTACCTTGCATTAAGGTCGGATTTTTTTTCTTTGTTTGCAGTGATGACAACGCTCAAAGAATTCAAGCGCAATTTATACAAGAGGTTATAATGGCTGAAATAGATGCACAAAGCTATTATGTACTGTGGTAGCTGGAACAGAAGATATGTGTGTAATTAATGGGCTGGAAGAATAAAGGTTTCCATTTTGTGTATATATGCTTAGCTTGAGTAAGAATGATATTGAATATTATTTGATAAAATGTTTATCTGTGTTAAAATCACACCATTTTTCTGAAACGGTTGTTCATAATCTAATATTTTTGTGGTGTTAGGTAAAAAGTTTATTTTTATATAAAGTTCTACTTACATTTCATCATCACCGATTAGACCTCGAACTACAGCCAGTCTCGATGAATGGATGTCTTCTCGGGGATGCTCCCTGTCTTGAAAAACTATTGGGTCTTAATCTTACGCTTGGCTTCAAGTGTAATTCGTATATATGATCCATTGCAAAATAATCAGGAAAAATGGCCAGCTCCCTCAACAGCTCCATTAAGCACCTGACTCCTTATGCTATCCTTTAAGAATAATCAGGCCGAAAATGAAGAACTGTTGTCATATTTTGGCGAGAGCTGACCGGTCCTTACTTTCCAGTCTCGATAAAGTCCAAAATAATCTTCAAGTCCTTGCTGGAGACCAATTATTTTCTACCCTCCAAATTCTCTGACGGGCGGGATGTGACGAGTCTCTCTACCGTTACTTCCATGGAAAGTGCTCGGCGAACTACATTCTTTGGTTCCGCCATGCAACTCACATTGTATCAAACCACCGACATTAATTCCGTGTTCCACTGATGAGAAATACGTTCCACTCGAACAGCTTCCTTCCGCAAACAACTGCTCTGCGGAGCCAACTCCCAAGAGAATATTTCCCCGAGCACTACAATCTTCACTTGTTCAAGTCTCTGGTTAACCATTATCTTCTCCTATCTGCATAAACTCTTTCTAACTGCCTAACGTAACCCTCTAACTTGAGCGACCCTCGAGACTTGTATAGAGTGAACCTTACTGTAAAAAATATAATAATCTTCTTCTTCATACTACTTTCTTGTTAATTCACTCAAATCGTGATTATTAATCGTATAGATAAATAATTTGAAAAGAATTTCGGGGCATGTATTTATCACCCAAACAGCCAGTAAATTAGTTACAATGTTACTGCGTGTGTTTTTTAAACAGTCCCACTCCAGTCCTCGGCGGCAACATTCTAAGCATAGACGAATGGTAGGCTTATAGATATGCAAATTAAATGTTGGAGAGAAAAATAGTCTAGCACGACACAGTGAACCAATTTTCTTAGCACCTGACTCAGCAATGGATTCAATGTAGTGTTTCCATTTAATGTCGGCCGAGAATGTTAACCCAAGAAGGCGCAACAAGTCACCCTCCTGGGGGTTAGCTACATCTATAATGATGGAAGCTAGAAAGAGTTTCTTCAGATGATTAAAAGAGAGCAGATGCCTTAAAATTAGCAAATCATTATTTGCCCCTGTTAGCAAGATAATTGGGTTGACCAGTATTACTATCCTCACTTTGTGTCTTGTATATGATCCGGTGCCACCACTAATCTAAGCTCGTAAATGACCCGGTATGCAAAACTAATCTATGCTAGTGATAACACCAGTAAGGACTAAACAAAAATAAACTGTTGCTTTTTAGCACATGGTTAAACTAATAAATTTAATCTTTTTAAATTATTTCAGTCTTGTAAAATATAAGGCTAATACTTCGGCACTTTATATTGGGGTTTACAATATCTCTAGTTTCTTTTATAGCATTTTCCCCTCAAAAGAATCTTAATTGATTTCAATTTTCTCCGTCAAATAAGAACTGGTGTTACTCACTAAATAACGCTTAAGTGAATTGCGGAAAAGCGGCTAAAATTCTCTCAGGAATTTCACTTTTGTAGCGTCATAATAGATTTCATATTATTAATGTAATATCAAATGAAATGAAATTTAAATCAAAATGCTTAATCTTGCAATTAATCTTAAGAGGAAGTAAAACTAAAGAACATGGTGCGAAGAGACGGCAATGACTTCAAATTTGTTCTCTCTCTCTCTCTCTCTCTCTCTCTCTCTCTCTCTCTGTGTGTGTGTGAATTGGTTCCTAATTCAAAAAGTCGAAGGCAACAAGTCTCCTCAGAAAATAAACCCTCTTTTTCGAC